TGGCGCTGACTAAATTTCGATCTGCTCTGAAAAGTTTCTGCAACGCTGGTCAGCTCTCCAATATGAATATCATAAGCGTTATGGCTGATCATATTGAATGATCTACTGCATAGTTCGGTAGATGCATTTTAGCCGATCCTGTTTATCCATTGCACCTGACGTTTTCAAAATGCTCAAGATCATATTCCGCAAGGTCTCAATTTGTCTGCATTTTTGTTGTAAGGGAAGTTTATAGAAAATCAGTTATCTAACAGATGGCTATGACTCTGCAGTGAGAAGACGGAATCTGTCCGAACTGATCTTTTCATACTGACCTATCACTTTAGATACTCATCTGTATTAAATGTCACTCATTCAATCCGTTTCTACTTCATGTTCAAGTCCATTTTTACTGTTGTGCATTGTTTGACCTAGTAGGCTATACGTATATTGTCATAACGAGGATCAGTGATTGAAGAAATGCTGGCCGGTGTTAGTTTTACGTAATAATTCCGATAATTTTAGCAGTACACGCTTTGATTGATTGAATTTATTAAAGGAATCAGGCAAAACTTTAACGAAAACTTTTTGATACTATCTCTGTTGGAATCTGTTTTATGCATGTACCTACACAAAAGCCTTCTTATGGTCCTGTCCTCCTACAAAGAGTGCTGAATATAAATTTAACTGTCGTTTCATAAATCAGAAAATACCAACACCAGTAAGATTGCGTAATTGACATAAGGCAGTATTAAGTACAAAGCAGAAAAATCTTATTCTGCCGTACGAAGTATACGTTGATTAAAAATTAGCACTTTCTATTTGGTTATTTCGCAGAACGTCTACTGGTATGTGAAATACAATGGCTTGAAGCATGTCGGGAATCTTCCACACTACGATGGCGGTTATTGACCAAACACCATCAGAATTCATAAAGGAACTTAAATCAAGAGGTTCGTCAGAGAAGACATATCTCTGCATAGAATGCATGCGGCGGGGACGACGAGATTACCGGGTGTGTTTGTATTTATTTTCAGATTTCACAAATCGTATTTGCTTTAGCTGAGATTATGGCTTAACAAAATATCATCCTTGTTGTCACAGTGTTGATGAAATATCTTCATAGAAGAAATTGCACTATGCCTAATCTCACATAGAATGCTAGGGTGTTAATAAGGCCTGTCGAAAAACTGCAGTCAGATCTGCAAAAGAAACGCCTTAAATTTTCCATATTCTCCTTAAATCACTTTGACCAATGTTGTAGCGAAAAATTGAAAGAATTTTCGTCATCCATCGCATCATCCTTCGAATCTCTTCATACTGCAGGTTTTGATCTGTTTTTAAGATGCTAATTAGACTAACTAACTGTGAACTGTCAATATGAATATTTGGCATTACTGAGTATTCGAGAAGCTGTCAGATTGTAAGCATCGTAAAGCTGCTTTTAGATAAGAGAAAGGAATTTGCCAGTAGACATTGACAGTAGCCTTCACCTTGCATGTCAAGCAAATGTCTAGATCGCAGATGAATTCGAACGCAAGTTTTTGTGAAAGCTTAGTGATACCTTGAAGCAGAACAGCCATAATGTCTGACTTCCAAGACTCGTTATTTTCATAATTCGTTAAGCTTAACATATTTATTCGATGTGTAAGGTATGCAAAGATTGAGTAATTTGTTCTATGCGTTGGTGTTCTTACTTAAAACGAATTATTGATACACAGCGCAAAGGAATCAGATTGCACTTGGGTGATAAATCAGTGCCGACGTTTCAGCTCATCTTTCACGAAAAGCCCTAGTTCTCCTATCCTAAGAAAATGTCAACCGGACGAAGCTAGGAATTCTACACTGGTTGAACAAGCCTTATTACGGTTATAGCTCAAAAACTACTTAACCAGCAATGCGAGTCAAAAGCATGCCCTCGGCTGCAGACGTCACAACAGCTGCGAACCATACAACCAACTGCAGAAACCAACCCGGACCACCCTGAAGATGGTGCGTAAGAGAAGAGCCGAAATGTCGGTACTGATCAGTCACGCGGTTGACCAACCTATTCGTTCGTGTTGCGTATGAATATATCTTTCTTATGCATCTTTCTGTTTCCCCGATGCATAAGACAGAATGATTTCTACCACAGTAACAGAAATGGCAGAATGATATTTATTGATCACTTTCATCCTTAAACTATACATTCGTATAATTAGTTATTTTGATGAACATTTCTTCCGTTGGCAATATTTGTTGGAGTTCAGGGTGCAGCAGCTACCCACCTTTTTGCTCAACGTTCTGGGTAATTCAGGTGCAACCTGGAATTGGCTCAAGTCATATAATTTCATTTTCATAAATTTGGTTTTAAAACCTTAGAGATATACTTTGCCCAGCATACCACTAGTTTTGGCAAGAATGCTACTTTGAATCGTTTTACACGCGGTCAACTGAATCTAGAAAACGAAAATGACTCGAAACTTGGAAAGAAACTTTCTTTTCCTGGAAATATTCATCCAGGACAATCCTAAGATATGCGTGGCTGCTGAATGGAATTATTTCTGATGCATTATTTCTGAGCAAACAGAACAGACAGCTCCAATGGTTAGCTCGAGCTTTCAACTGTTTCCGAAATTGTCAGGGAGCATTTGAAAGCAGTTGGTTTTCAGGCATCAAACACCAACATTGTACCCATGTTTTAGAGATGAATAAATTAGCTCTTTGCCCTTTGCAAAATAGCACAGAATTCCATACTTTAGTACATTTCAAAAGTCCCTTTCCAGACGTCATCAAGGTTACCATCGAAGATTAAGAAAAGTATTCATTTTGGGCTCTTTAGTTACAATAAGCTAGAGCTGCTATGAAACAGCAGTCGTCTACCGAACGTTTCCTACGAATTACTTCTAATTATTAATATGGAGTGAAAAAAGACATTGCTAAGGCTCTCGACTGACAAATAGCGACTCAACTTTGATGGAATTTGCATTTGCGAAAAACTGAAATATGTCCGGAAAGCATTCGTAAACGTCCGCTAACCCCACTGACTAGTAGAGAATGCCATTCCTCAACAAATGAACCAAGTTGCTATGCAGAGGAAAACGGAAAGCAGTTAATTTACCTGTGAAGTAGTACGCCTGACTTACGTACATAACGTAAACAAGATGTTACGATGGACCACCTACCTCTAGGCTAGGAAGTTCACTAAGGTTTGAACTCACCTATCGGAGTTTTCAGTCGAATGTGAAAACAAATGTACCGTTGGTTGAACACAAACTGAGGATGATTCTATGGCATTCCCTGAAATATGGGAAAATCTTCTTCTAGGCAACGATTAGTGACGTCATGATAAACCGATATCGACGTTTTGGCCCGTGCCTCAAATTTTATGTTCTTGCAGTTAGCATCGTCTGCAGCAGCGGACTCGTTTCCGGCCAAGAGGCTGGATGTCTGCGGTGCGGCATTAATAGTTCCTCACCGACAGAGCAACGAGGTTCATCCATCCATGCAGGAAGCTTATCCGTTCGTATTCTTTTACAGTGCCGCAAGGTTAGACAATTAATGCCTCATTATCCTATCTAGTCGGCTAATCTCTTTCATTGGCGACTCCAATGCACCCTGAACAGCAAGGCGTGTCCTTTGCGTTGCCTGCTACATGTCCGACATTTTTCATATGGAATCCTTACTTGGTGGTGATAAGCTGTTTGCTGTTCACTTTCACGCGCTGCTCGCGTTAATCCAGTTTCTCCGGCTTGATGCTGTCCACTATTTTGCCATTATGCAATTCTTCCAAAGTGACCTGATAAATTATAAGCTCGACCTGAAGAATTATTTTCAGAATTGCTTAATAACGCGACGTTTATCAGAATTTTCAAACATTATGTGATCATGTTTGGTATGCACTGAAAGAGGCATCAATTCTTTGCCTATTTTAATAACAGTTAATGATTCTCCGATTTCGACCTATGGTCCAAGACAACAATTTGCAAATGATCAAATTTCCGTTACTCACCGACGAAGCTCATCGTCATCCGATGAAGCTGGTATGCGGCGTCGACGAGTAACGGAAATTTCACCATTTGTAAATTATTACCTTGAACCATGGATCAAAATCAAAGGACTATTGTGTAATTAATTCGTCTCCATGACCGCTTCTCGTTTCGGGTTGTGGAGGCAGACACATCAGAGTGATTCCAACGTTGCAGATCCTAAGCCAGAGCCTGAACCTCGGCAGAAGACAACTGGAGCCTGTAGCACACTCCTACCACAGATTTTCATCAGGTTAATCTTGGCCGTCATCAGATCTTTGCTGACCGGCATAAGATTTACTTTGCCTTACTTTCTGAAAGCATTCGCAACACGTGCTCAAACCAACGCAGCTATAACGTCTCAATCTGAAGCAGAGGCTGTACACCAAAGCTATCGAGTATTTAATGAGCAGTTATTAAATACAGTTTTATTTCATTAGTTTCCATGAGAATTACGTTAATTAACAATATTATCATCTTTGATGTTGCTGATGTTACACCGCAAGTATAAGTTAGCTATTTTACGGTTTAAATGAAAATTGAGAATTTCGCTTCAGCGTTATTGTTCATACTGAAATCAACACAAATCAAGGTTCGTTTATACACTACACGTAACGCATGATTAACCAGTACCAACTTTACGGCATATAATGTTATCAGTGAATTTAATGGACAGTTATTATGGCTACGTAATAGTTTAATAGGCCATTTCTTCATTAAATTAGAGTTTAATTGTTTGGTCTGTGAAAACTGCAACTGCAACTAGTACCCTTTTATTGGAGCCGAAGGATAATGGCTCATTCGAGAACATCAACAAGCAGAAAACCTAAATTCGTTCTTCGAATTCTGCTGGCGCAAAGTCTGCACGACTGGACCGATTTCGAGTGCTGAGATTAACTAGACAAAAACAGAAGACGCAACAAGCCCACTGGTAGAGCTAACAATTTCACTTCTGGTTTCAGTCAAAACAAAAGAGAATATGACCATCAGCATCACGTGACAATACGTCAGCATCTACTTCAGACTCTTCTCCAGCAGCATCCTGCTCTGCTTAGCGGTCATCGCTGCGTCCGTGAAATACACAGCAGTGCGCTTCCGTAACTCATCCAGGTCCGACTCGACCGATGCCCACTCGAGCACCAGCCTTCGGCCGTACAAGTGAGTGCTGTGGCACAAGGCATTGAATGCCGCTTGCGCGTCGTCCTTGCTCACAAAGTCGATGAAGCCGAAGCCGCGGTGTTCACTGGACTGAGTTTTACGAGGCAACCTGACGGCTCGAAGTTCACCGAACGTGTTGAAAATGTTCGTGATTTCACGTTTGTTCGCCTGAAATGGTATGTTGCGAACAAGAATGGTGCTTTCCGACCGTTCTTTGCCTTTGTCTCGACCGGTCCTTTTCGACAGAGTTGAAGCGGCAAGTTTCGGCGACACCTTCGCCGCTCGTTCCGAAAACTTCAGCGTAATACTTCGTCCGTCAATCGTGCTGTTCTGCAGTTCCTTGAGCGCCCTCGACGCATCGACTGACTTTCTGAACTGTACAAAACCGTAGCCCATCGACAGAAGTTCGCCCGCTTTCGCCGGGTTGCTTTTCTTGGCCACGGTGGCATAAACCAGGGGGCCAATGCGCTCAAAGTGCTTGGCAAACGCCTCGTCACTCGTAGCGAAGTCAAGGCCTTTGACGAACAACGTGTTGTGATGACTCTCAACGTCACACACATCGGCCGTCGACGTCACCGCCTTCGGTTGATCGGCTTTTGACTTCTCCAGCTCCAATTCAAACTGCGATTTGAACACCGCGTCAGGCGCCCATTCGAGGAATAGCGGCGACGACTTGAAACGCTTGAAGATTTGAGCCTTGAACGCCTTGGCCGCATCTTGACTGTTCATAAACTCGACCAACGCACTTATGCCAGATGGCGGCAGCACAACTCGCCCTAGTCTTCCGTACCTGTCGAAAACCTTCCGGATTTCTTGGCTGTCAGTGCCAGCGGGTAGGTTCTTGACAAGGATCACTGACTCGCTACGCTTCGCATCGCTATCCGAGAACTTGTCCAGGTCAACGCCGTTTTCCAGCAAGAACTGACGAGTGTCAGCTACAACATGCGTCTCGCCGAGTGCCATACGCACTCCGAGGCTGGACTTGGACGCCGGGTCAAGAATGTCCCTCTTCGCCGTGCCCAGCTCATCAGCCAGTACATCCGCCACCGCGTTAGCGCCCAAGAACAGCGTATTCCAGTTGACACCTCGAACCGTCGTTTCCAGCAGCTCTGCCTTCTTCTTGGATTTCAACGAATCATCGTCCAGCTGCACCGCCGACGGCAGTTTCACCGCTTCGCTACCTTAAAAACAAAACAAGACGTTATCGAAAATACAAAAGCCTTTATAATCTGCAGTTTACCGCCAACGTAGTCTGTCACCCAATTAAACCTCTGCTCAGCCGCATGGTTTTGCTGTAAACCGATGCATCTGCCCGTGTTACCCTTATATAACTTCTGTATTTGGCATGAATCACAAGACTGCGATTCAACTCAAAGATATGGCAGTCATCCTTCACTTTCCACCCATCCGACATAGATAATGAGCATCACTACGCGTAGCAAAAAAAAACAAGAATCTAGGATCAAGGTGTGTCACCTGACTGCAAATGCTAACCTAATCCTGTCACAGAATATCGTAACAAAAATCAACAACTG